TGAATGCTCTTTCGCATATTAATGTGTGCGTTATTACTGAAAGAACATTTTATCGACACCAACAACAGTATTTACAGCCAGCCACAATGCAGGTGTGGAAAAGGAAAAGGCAAAACATAATGGACGAAATAAGAACACTTGGGGCTCCAGTTGTTCTAGGTGGTGATGCAAGAGCTGATAGCGTAGGCCATTGTGCAAAATATGGGTCATACACTCTCATGGATCTCAACAGAAACAAAGTGATTGACATACAACTTGTACAGGTAATGATATATCAACAGTCATATTATTTGATTAACTACACTTTGATTATCATTCAGCTTTACTAGGCCTAGCCCTATGTTTTTTTGTTTTTTTGTTTGTTACCAGAAAAATGTGGTAGGTGGCAGCTATCATATGGAACTAGAAGGACTTAAGTTGGGAGTGGCTGCAATTGGAATGGAGCAACTAAAAATCCAAGCTCTTGTGACTGACAGGCATGCACAGGTTGCCAAATGGATCAGAGAGAACCTAAAAGACATTCAACATTATTATGATGTGTGGCATGTTGCTAAAAGTAAAGCATCTCTACTTGTTTGCTCTAATTACATTTATAATTTGGCCTATATAGCTATTTAATAATTATAGGCATGACCAGGCCCTAGGCTGCCCTTACAGGTAATAAATATTGTTATTTATAGGCTTTTGTGGGGTTGTTTCTATCTCAGTTAATATGCAATTGTTCTGTAGTTAGGTATAGGCATATTGCTACAAATATACAAAAATAAGGTCTAGGCCTAGCCTATGTTAGCTAGATAAAAAAAAAGGTGTGACTGCTTACCTTTTGAGGCCTGGTGCTGTATTCATCTATCCTACTATACTAAGCTAGCCTCTTTTTACCTACACTTGTATCTATCCTAGGCCAGGTTAATTATCAAAAGTATAAGCATCCTTCAATTGTTAAACAGTGTTAAGCATACTTCTTTCAAATTCAATATCAAGCACATCAATGAATCCTTCAATGTAAAAATAAATCCAAAGCTTCCTTTCATAAATGAAACTGTATGTAAAGTTTTGTACTAAACTGTCATGCATGCTGTATCAACCATGTCTCTGCACTGAATGAACTTGAACTGTTGCACGCTGTGTATCATTTCGCGCGCGCTTTAACAATTATAACATTGTTACAATTTATTGTTGTGTTCCTCCCCTGTGTATGTAGTAAACAAATATTCAGGGATCAACTATTGAAGTAAACTTCCTCAATTTCTTTTATTGCAAAAAAACAAACCATACAGTAAAATAGTAACTATTTTATGCATTAATGTGATTAAAATATATTATTTTCAATTTGTTTTTCATATTTTTTATACTGTTCCTACAGGCCTATAATTTTTTAGAAAAGTTTATCATCATCTTCTTTATTCCACTCCAATTATTATTTTACAATTATTTTTATTCATTTAACCCTCCTATATTAGTATAAGTGAATCAAATAAAGTGCTCTTGGTTGGCTTTTGAATATTATGTTTAGCAATAACATTAGCATTTATCATTCTTTTAAACTATTTGTTCAGGCCTTGGAAAAAGAGTAAGAGCCATCGGGAAAGAAAAGGATTGTGAAGTGGTGCAGGAGTGGGCAAGAAGTATTAACAACCATGTTTATTGGGTAGCTTCGTCCACACCTAGTGGAGATAGATGTGTATAAGAGACAGGCTTTCCTCCGAGGAAGAAATGGCTAAAACCAGGTATAAAATATTTATTAAAAAATCTTCATTTTTTAAAATTACAGTACTGTACATGCTTACCGTAGTCGGAATTTTATTTTTATATCATATTTTATTACAGTATTATCAACATCATATAACATCACAAAAAATAAATGTAAAGATAAAATTTTAGTAATGCTTTTTACAGTTTAAATGTTATATTAATCTTTTTTTTTTATTTTGCCATATGACAGGGTCAAAGGCATGCGAAAAATTGTCCGATCTTCTAGAAAAACGTCACTTTCTAAAGGACATACAAAAGCTTAGTCCACATCGGCAGACATCGGGTGTAGAGGCATTCCATGGGACTATAATTCACTTTGCTCCCAAAATGCTGGTGTATTCCTACAATGGCATGTTTACCAGGTAAGAGTTAAGCTCCATCTACACTATCAAATTGTATGTGCAAGAAAAATTTGTTGCATAAAATATTATACTGTGGACAGAGTTAAACATACACTTTGCAATCATCAACCTTGAGTACCAACTTGTCAAACTTATGTCATTTTATTTTTAGGGTGATAATAGCAGCGTTGCATTATAATGAAAATGCAGGCAGAATTGCTTTAAAAGATGGAAAAGGAAATGACAGATACTCCGTAGTTTATCCAAGAGCTAAAAGTGGTGGATATACATTGCAAAAAGTGTTGACTGAGGCTACTTATGGTAAGCTTAACTTGAAAATTTTTAGTTGCTTATGAAAATGTAGTTAAGTCATGTGATCTTTCAATACAATTTAAACTCCAAAACGTTTGTTTACAGATTATGTTGATGAACTAATAGCAGAGGCAATCCAGTTGTGTAGCAGTGGGAAGAAAAACCTACAACTCTCCATTCCACAACTCAGTTCTCCACCACCACCTGTTTGTTCAGCCTTTAGCAGACCAGAGAAAGATGTAGCAATAGCTAAACATCTGTCAAGATTTACCAGTCTCACATAAACAAGACACTCAAACCAAAAGGCTCTTTTCAGAGCCATTATTTAACAAAAGAGAAGCAATTATATAGTCTGTGTTTGTTTTGGTTTTTTTTTTCATTTAATTTATTCACACACATACACATACATATTACTGTACAAAGAAAATACTTAATAGTAAAAAGAAATAAGAATAATAATATGTTACAGAATAAGTGTGTGGAAAGAGGCCAAAATATGTTTAGAATCAAATTTTAAGCCATGAATACCAGATAAAATAATATTATATTATTAAATAAAATTTAATAATAAATAAATAATAAAAGTTGAATTAGGGCAGTGTGCCAATTATTCATTAATTTTACCAAAATGTCAAGTTTACAAACAAGCACATAGCATACCCACTACAGTAATTATAATGAACTACAGGAGTTTTGTTCTGTTAGGCTGATGGGAAAGATTACCGATAAGAAGCAAATTAAGTTAAATTTTAGAGACTACCATTTTATACCATTTGAAGATGATCCTCAAAATGAATTTAGAGAAGCAGGAGCAGCTACAAATACGGACGAAGACATTGCGCAGACCGTCATATGCTTTGAATACCAAGTAGTAAGAAATTAAGTTTATTTACCCGCTGCTCGGTTATATTCATCAGTGGAAATTTACACTATAAAATTTATAATTATATTTCTTCTAACTTTCCTAATTTGAATCCTGTGTAACCCTCTTCTTCTGGGTTTGGAAATGCCTTGCGTATCTTAAGCACAGCACAGGCTGGTAGAGTAACTCTATTGAGTCTGCCTAAATAGCCATAGCAGAAGCGGACCAGATTTCTGTATGCAATGTGTCTGTATTGCCTGTGAAAGTAAATATCAGATATAAATACAGTAATAATATACATTTACATATTATACCAATAACTTTTCCCCAATCATCCTACCTTTCAGTATGCAACAGCATAAACTTTTTTGAAACTTGTTTTAATACACGTAAGACCAAATAAAATTAATTGTTTGTTTCACGTGACAGAAATAGAAATTATTTTTTGGTGTGGGTATTTGCTACTAAAAGAAGTAAAATGAATCTTTGTAATGTATTTCTACCATAATATGTTCACACCCCTTCTTAGGATTGACATCATTCTTTCAGATAATAATTGTTCTTATTGTCCATGGAAAAATTACTTTTTTTTTTTAAATAGCAAATAATAAATTTTTTCATGAGACGGGGATGTGAAATTAAAGTAGTTTTATTTGGCCTAGCACATTAGTAAATTTTATTAAAGGTTAATCAAAATTACTTACTCTTCTCTTGAATGTGGTAACACGTCTCGCACCCCATACTGCTGCCGATACGATAAGTAGGTAAGCTGTAACACCCATTCATTTAAACAAACATGTTCAAATCCAGGATGAGATGTTATACATCCACCTTGCATACCAGCACGGACCATCTTGTCTTGCATCTGTTTATATTCCATGCAGCATTTTGACTCTTTCATTGTAGGCATTATGCCACACCTTGTGCACAAACACCTGCAAAAAATCCGTTTATTTAGTGCTGAGTAGGGCAGCCCTAGGCTACATGTTAAAACACAAACATCGGTGCGAACTAGTCAATCAAGGACCCTAGGCTAGGCGGCCTACAGATGTACTTTTAAATGTCTAACCGTAGGCCTACCCCTACCCCAGCCTGTATAGGCATAGGCCTAGGCCTACTCTATTATTATTATTATTAATTAGGTAGGCCTAGCCTAGGCCAAACCTCCCTAAATACGTGTACACTAGGATGGGTGATAAAGGTCGAAAAAAATTAGGCTTATGTTAAAATAAACATGCATTATCGTAAAGGTAGAAATCAAGTTATGCCTATGGGGCCTACGCCGAGATGTAGTACATCAAGAGAGAGGGAACGCCTCCCCTACTAAAAACAGGGGGTGGGCCTAGGATAGGCACTTCGCACCAATTTCTTACCACTCGGTATTCAAAAGCCTACGAATGCCTACGCCAATGTCTTCGTCTGTATTTGTAGCTGCTTCTTCTCTATATTCTGGTTCAAATAAATAAGCGTTTGTACCAACGTTATCCTCTTCGTTTTCATTTACATCCTCTTCGAACGACGACGAAGACCAGTCTAAATTTAAACTTAATTCACTATCTGAATTTCCCTCCGCCATCGCGTTGATTGCATTCGTTGCATGAGAGCAAGAGGTTTGTGAATGGCAACGTCTTGGGGGCGTGATGACGTATTAACTTGACCTTGGCGATTTTTAAGATTTGGCAAAATCGAAAAATTGAGCATTTTTTAAAGTTGTTTTTAATGAGCAAGATAGTTCATTTAAGGTCTTCAAGTGCGATTTATTAATCATTAGTATGTACTTCATCATTTTCTTATGATATAAATCATTATAGTTCAGCTTGTCAGACGGTCTTTAAACCTGTTTCCTTTTGCTGTTATTGTGATGTGGGTCTATCTGTTGAAAAATGTTTAAATGTTGATTGTTTAGATTTTTCTGCTTGAACCCTTTACTTTTGTAAAATTCAACCCATTTTGAGTGATGAATAAAGAATGATTTGATTTTATTTAAATCG